TCTACAATAAAACCTCCTCCAGCACAGAGTAGCTGGAGAGGTGGAACGTCTTTGATCGTATAGTTTGAACAAATTTAAGAAACACAATGACAACATTCAACAATTTGACTCCAACAGAATGAGCACATAAAAACCCTCACATGCTGTTCAGGAGTTCCACATGAACTTGAAAACTCCATTACTGGAATCCTGAACTGGAAGCAATAAACTCATCTACAATGTGTTAGTAAAGAGTGACGTGTACTTCTGTCCCATTAAGCAACGGTTTAACAAATTTCACTGCAAACTATAAAAGGAATCTGGGTTTAAATAGAACATAGCAGTGTTGGATTAAGTGCAGGAAACACTAGTATAAGGTGTCTATGGAACAAAGCTCCTTCAACATTCACAGTGACCAAAGTGGATGACTACAGGCATTTCTCTCAGTCAGCTGATTGTGTTTAGGGAAAAAGCAGCTAAATACACTGAGATTGCGCTGCGATGTTTGTGAGCTGTGGGTTTTGTCAAACTTGGAGTGAACAAAGCAGAAAAACAGTAAAAGATTCAGACATTGAAATTCTGGTTTATTTCATGAATACAGTGAAACATTTTACAGTCCACAGAGCAAAGTAGCATACACGATAAATGGATACACATAACACAGACAGTGAGAAGTAAAACTCATCGTCTTACCAGATGTTATATTCTGTAAACTTAAAATAAACCCCTGAAATTAGAGTTTAATGGGCTGCTGTTAGTCCTTGTACAACGGGTGCGCAGCTCAATTGACCCATCGGGGTCCACCAGGCAAATGCTCAGTATGACAGACAGTCATAACCCGAAGAAGAGAGAGCGCATTCCTAAATTTCTCTTAGAGTGACAGCTGTGCATCGCAGGACTTTTCTGACTGCAGGTGCACAAACAAAGTGATCAGAACGACTTTGCTAAACAAAATCTATTCTAATCCAGCTAAAAGAAACCTTATTCTAAAATCATTTGAAATTGGGACAATTAAGGTTATACAAAGAAAATGTATTTCACTCCCCCTTCCTCCTAAAGTAATGAAATCAATTTCAAGGTCATAAACTTGGTGTCCCCAACTAATGAATTCCTGGCTGCCAAAAACAGATTACCGGTATTTGCCAAAAAGTGATTGTAACTAAGCTATAAATAACTTGTTGGTCTATAATATGTGAAAAAGATTTCAAAAATATCCCTCATGAATGATATCAAGTCATCTTGAGCCACCAACAAGATTCCTGTCACAAGGTAGAAGCTGCAATTAGTTTTTGGCAGTGACTTTTATATATCCTTTATGCTGTTAAAAATCTCTTTGACATTAAAAATGTATTTTTTAAGAGTAATCTGACCAAAAGGAAAGCAGAAAAGGCAACAAATATAACAACAGTTACAGTAAACATATTTTAAGTGACCGGATCGGTTATAATGTATGTCCCTAACACAGAGTAATAAAGATACTTGAAATGCAGGAAACTTTAAATTTCATGTATAACCCCTTTGTAAATCCTGTTTACTGAAGTCTATTTACCAATATAAGTAAAGACATTACACATAAAAAGACACACGGGAACATCACGAATGATGAATCGGAAATTGCGTTTATTTCCGTTTCCGTTTTATGCTCCGTTGACAGTTACAAGTCCGTATGTGCTGTAGGTAGCCGGTGAAGTAGGTAGCGCTATAAAACCATTTAGAAAAAGCCATGGAAGACAAGGCTCAGATACAAGAAGCGATTAAAAGTCAAGGGGAAGTCGTCCGGAAGTTAAAATCAGAGAAGGCGAGCAAAGAGCAGGTCCGTACTAAGATTTACTCTTAATATTAATTATGATGTTAAGACAAGTGAGTTACAGCATGCTGCGCCATGCTTCGGCATTTTAACTGATTGGTTGTTTGCTAGCTAGATTAGCTATATAATACATGTAGAAGGTTTTCATACTCGCAGTTTAGCTCTCGGTCTTGGAATACATGCTGTTAGCATCTGACTCAGTACTGTGTAATATGATTATTAATCAGTTCTCATTTCGACATAGATTATGCTCAATAACTTGGCTTTCCGAAAAAATGGAAGGCGCTTATATTTAGAAAACAATATCCGCTAAATTCAGGTTTCAGGGAGAAGGAGACTACACTTCCCAAAAGCCAGTTTTTTTATTCCACCATAGAGTTAGCTTACAGGAAAAGTCCTGCGCTCTAATCGGTCCGGCCTCCTTCATTCAGCCCAGTTAGCTAGCGGATGTTAACATGCATGTTGGCACCTATTATGTAATGAATTAATGAATTAGATAACAATGATATAGCTTTTTATTTTCTTCACGGCTTTAAAACGTGGATTTTCAACGTTCTTATTCTCGTTATGGAAATGTGTAAGGAGAGCTGATGCAATAACACGCATGCGTTAACACGGGCATTATCAGAGCCTGTGACCACTGAGAATATGTAGCTGATACCACAATAAATGCCAAATGTATGGGACGGTGCAGAAGCGTTTATTATTAGCAAACACTAAGACGATCAAGACATCTTCTAGGGGCCAGTGTTTGTTTTAGCCCGTCACAAATCCTCGTAGAACAACATGAATTAAAAACGTGCCCTTTGTGTTATTCAGGAATCTTCTAGACTGGACCGTAGAGCATATTCTTATTTCTCAGAGAAGATGCCTTAGCCGAGTCGTTCAGACAGCAGTCTCATCCATTTCCTGTCTTTTATCTGAATTGTTTGATGTTAGTTCTGACTCGCTTTATGAAAATGACACCATAGAGATTTATTGAGACTAAGTTACAAATGCTTGCTGACAGGTAGAGTTTGCTAAATGCAATAACAGGTTAAAGCAGCAACAGTAGACATGTTAACCAACTTTTTGTGGCTGTGGACAATAAGTGAAGGAAAGCGCTATACAAATACAGGGGAAAAAAGGAATCATAGATTTTCTTAAACAGTTCAAACATCTGTGCGCTTGTTGTCTAAATCAGTTTTTATCACATTAGTGAAAGACTTTGTTTGCCGGGTGGGTGGGGGGCTGTTGGGCTGCTGTGATTGACTTGCTGCATCTCGTGTTCTGTTCTCCTCACTGTGGTGATGATGCATCATGCCCCACCCTCTCCTAGTGATAGGGTTGCTTACCACTTTTCTCCTGTTCTTCCTGCCTGACCTGTGGTGACCTTGGCCTGTCACACGATTCATCTACTTCACCGTCTGGTTAACCCAACCCTCCTGACTGGCTGCTGCGTTGGCTCTGTACAACACCACTGGATTATGCTGCACTCTTGATGCACTCTGATCTTTTTTTGGTCCTACTTTACTTTTTTTTTTTTTGGAAATCCATACCATTTTCCTGCACTGTGGAATAACCATGCTGGGCATGATCTGGGTTCGTGCCTGCTCCGCTCTGGTGGGCTTTCGGGCTCCCACATGTGTCCGATCTCTTCACTCTTTCCCTGGGATCACTGTGGCTCAGGTAGGCTGCTGTCCATGTGTTTATTTGACAAGATGTATTCATAATTTTTCACGCTACAGTTGTTAAATACAGTATAAAACCTCTGAACACTTTATATTTTGTTCTGTGTTCTCATGCAGATTGATGAAGAGGTAGCTAAACTGCTGGCACTAAAGGCTCAGTTAGGAGATGATGGCAAAACCCAATTTGTCCTTAAAACACCAAAGGTAAGATTAAAGTACTGTTGTATTTAAGGAAATACACGTTTATATTTACAGAATATTCTGTGGCACAGGCCTGGTATCGTCTGTATTAGGACAAGACAAACACAACCATTTAACTTTATGTCACATGTGTAAAGCTTATCTTACTATCTCAGCATGACTTGGTGGAATAAAAGGAGCTCTCAATGGCAAAGTACCCGCTACCTTTATATTCGGGCACATACCATTTGATTAAAAGCTTGTTGTAAGTAGAAGCAGGCGTAGCTTTGGTTACAGAGAAGCCTGTCTGTGAGATCATTGGCACCAAGTGGCTGCATTATAATTAAAAAAAATATAATAGCTCTAGATAGCTTGTTACCAAAGATCAGATCAAAGAACCCCTTCATAAGAGTGGGTTTAACGAATCAAACTTTAGTGTCGGTAGTCAAAAATGCAAGGCTCAGACTACCCCAAATTGTGTCATCAAAGTACATGATGCTTTATGTGGATATCTGCTTATCCTTTAATCAATCACATCTCTTCTAGAGGACCAGAAAATGTCTGTATGGTAAGCTTTCCAATGGTGTGTTACAACCCCAGTGGCTCTAAGTTAGATTTCTTTTTAATGTAAAAAGTTACATGGATTCAGTCACCCAGGCCTAGGACAGCGACCATTTACAACCTCTGGTAGGCTGAGTGGTTACTGGTTACCGCACGGTGAAATCTGTTACAAAGAGGATGCTGAACAAAAAAATGACCACAAACAACAAGTGCATACATATTCTCACAATAGAATTATTTGATTGACAATGTGTGTTTGTCAGGGAACGAGAGACTACAACCCCAAACAGATGGCCATCAGAGAAAAAGTCTTCAACACCATCATCCGCTGCTTTAAACGACATGGAGCCGAGACCATCGACACACCTGTTTTTGAACTAAAGGTAGAGTTTGACTTAGTTTAACAAGTTTGCTGCTTGAAAAATAGGAATGGGAATCGGGTATTAGTTCTTTTAGCAAACCGGTTCCCAGTAGTTCAATTCCTTGGAATTGTTAGTCTGCCAGACTCTCAATCCCGCTTATCGGTTCCACTCGTACTTATGCTACAATTAGCTGACTACTTTCATTTTTATTGCACAAAAGAACCAGAGCGCAATGGTGAAGTGCAAACTGCATTCAGGACCGAAACAACAGCTAACTGCTAAATAACGAAGTTGTGCCGCTAACACAACTTCGGCTCTTTGCAAGCACCTATCCTGTCTTTAAGTGATGACGTGATGAATCCTGCTTCCGGGCCCAAACTACCCTGTGTTTAATGACGCTTTTGTGCTTTTAACATGTTTTAATGCTTTGTATCTTGTTCTATTTAATCTCAAAAGCCCCTAAAAACAGTCAGTGATCACTGTCGGCCTCTCTCGGTTTTTATTACCGCTATTCATTTTAAAGCTCAGCTTTTAAAACCATCGGGAACCCTCAAGTTAACTTTTATCGAGTGGAAAAAAGTTAACGTTCATCCTCCAGCTTCACTGTTTATGTTACGCTAACATAGCTGTGTCGCTAGCCACCACGTAGGACATCGTTATATACCAGCTAGCCCAACTTCAGTAACCCTACAAGTGTCACTGCTGTTTACTTTCATTTATGTTGGAAGTGACAGCAGAGCTGTACGTTTGAATTTTGTCAGGAATCTCTCAGTCAGAACATGCTACATCATGTTTAGGTGGTAAGTAGCGAGCTAACTTCCTGCTAACTTCTAACTCCGTTAAATGTATTAAATTCTGTTTTCATGGATGCCTGGATGTTAAACTTAAGGCTATTGTTAAACTGGATATTAAGAGTTTTACTCTCAGTGATGTGTTCGCTTGACTTTGGGCCCAGACACAGCTAATGACGTCAGGCTTAAAGGCCGGATACAGACAGTGTGCTAATCAGTTTTCAGTTTTATTTGTCATATGCAAGTTAGCACAGGGTCAACATTGCAATGAAATGTATTTGACGAGCAGAAGACAGTCACTCAGCAGAATGGTACAGTAGAAAAAAATGGTTAAGAGCAAAATATTAATAAAATATAGTAAAAGAAAAAAGATTAACAGTTAACAGACTAAATATGTATATATTGGGGTGCAACGATACACAAAATTCACGGTTCGATATTTTTTCGATACAAAAAAAATGTTCATGCTTTTTTAATTTGTCATTTATTAAAATTATAAATATATATTTTAACTCAAAAGTACAGTTTTTAAATTTAATGTTGCTGAAACAAAAAAGTTATAAAAACAATCAATCTGATGGAGAAATCACTCATCTTTGGAAAAGAGAGTTTATTACAGAGAAATGGCTCTTTCAAAATAAAAGCTATACTATACGCTTCTTCTGGGCTATATTCTCAGCAGCATATTAAACATATCAGGTCCCCATAAGGAGAATCCTGTGCTAACGGCTGTCTAAATGACTCGGGTAAAGTTTGTAGCATGCTGCTTGTTGTTTTTGTCTGCTTCCACTTGTCTTTGCACTAGGATGATGTTGGAGTAAATGTGCAGTCATATTCGTTGTGTTCCCACTAGTGCTGTCAGCGTTAATCTGAAATGACGTTAACGCCACAACACGGCAAATCTCCGTTAACGAGCTACCGCGGATCGCCCCGTGCGTGGAGCTAGACGGCCAACACGTTAACGAGCTAACTGCGCTAACGCACTAGTTCCCACCAATGTAATTGAGCATTGCATGGCACATCCAACATACTGTTTTACTTTAGTCCATGACTCGCTTACCTTCAGGGTCATACGTCACATGAAAACCAAAATAGTTCCAAAGGCCAGATCTGAATGAGGGTGGGGGAGGTTCAATTTGTCATGTTGCAACGAGAGCTTAGCTTCTGTCTGCTAGCTTGCCCTGCGCTCAGTGAATCTGCGTTCGACTACTCCGCCTAGACTGCACTGTCGAGTGCAGATCCACTGAGCGCTCCACACAGACAGCATCGTCAGAAGGAAAGTTGATAAAATAAATTAAAGAATTTGTATTGTTCGATACATATGCGTACCGAACCGAAAGCACTGTATCGAACGGTTCAATACCGATCGTTGCACCCCTAATAAATATATAAATATATGTACACACTAGTGATTAAATAAAAAAAAATCTTAAATAGGAATGTGACGGGGGGGGATATTGCACAGTGGCAGGAATGAGCAGCAGTACAGGCTGAACAGTTAGTACAGTATTGCACATTTTCTGCCTAATATAAATACCAATAAAGTGGAGTAACCAGTGCAAGTAAACGAAGGATCCCAGGCATCCACGGTGTCGAAACCTGCTGTAAAGTCCGAACTGGCTGACGAACATTGCTCCAAAAGCATTTGTCCGTCATACCGAATATATGATCGCGCTGTGCGCACAGAAATAGAAAGCAGTACAAAATAAATAATAACATTTTTGCTGAGATGACTGGGAGCTCTCGGCCGCCATCTTACGGCGCAACCGGAAGTCAAGTTCCTCGATTGCTTTAAAGCTTTGTGCTGTTGACTTTGTGTTTATACCTGTTGTTAGCTAGGATTTGTGTTGGTGTGTAGCCTGTAGGTTTATATTGTTAAATGTTAATTATGAGAATTATATATCACATATTCTGTGTGAGACATTATTTTTGACACACTGATCACAAGGAGGTGAAATACCTTCAACATTCACAAACATTTGACCACACAGCACGCAATTTATTTGCAGGAATGTGGGACACATTGCACGGAAGTGACCTATTTGTCTGTTTGCACAGGAAACATTGACGGGGAAATATGGAGAAGATTCCAAGCTCATCTATGATCTCAAAGACCAAGGAGGCGAGCTGCTGTCCCTCAGATATGACCTCACTGTATCCTTTAAATAGACACTGTACTGTTCTCATTCATGCATTTCCACAAAAATGTTAGAAAGAATTAAAAGAGTGGTGTTTAGACTGAGCATTCAACAGAGTCAATACGCAGTTAAATGAACGGGGCTTCTTATTAACCAAGTGCAGCTTGTGAAATGTTACATTGTCATGAAAGTAGCAATACATTGTTACTCTGTGGTGTTGTTATTCTTGACCCGCCCTCTTTCAGGTACCATTTGCCCGCTACCTGGCCATGAACAAGATAACCAACATCAAGCGTTATCACATTGCTAAGGTCTATCGTCGTGACAACCCAGCCATGACCCGGGGACGTTACAGAGAGTTTTATCAGTGTGTAAGTCAACTGCAGATGGCATGGACTGAGTTCTTTTTCATAGCATTAATTTTGTCTCACTATGGGAATATCTACTCTGACCTCATCAGAAGGTCAAATATCACAGCTCCCTATAGGCTGGCTCAGTGATGCCTGTGTGAGGAGGGGCAAGGGGTCCCCTATATAATCTTGATTCAAGCAGAAGCCGTTGACAGCCCTGCTGTTTGTGCTAAACTGACACTGTCCATGAATTTTAGTGCAGAACGCTCTGTTCCCTACATGCCAGTGTGTAGTAGCTCACAAGCAGTAGCAATACAGTCCTGTAGGTAGTCCGGGTGTTTGGTAGCAATGCTTTTACTCCAAAGCATCGTAGCAACACTTTACTAATAAGGCACTGCCAGCATCACCAACAGGAAGCATTCACGCGTTCAACACTCATTAGCAACAGCGCTTAATGTAGAAACTGCCCAATATGCAGCAAAACCTCCAGAAAAGTAGCACTACCTTTCACTGCTAGGATTCAAAGTCCACTAACTACCCGAGGCTACAGCTAGCTACCCGAGGCTACAGCTAGCTACCCGAGGCTACAGCTAGCTACCCGAGGCTACAGCTAGTGTCACTACCCGATCCGTACCGGAAACCCGATCGGTACCACACATGCGCAAATCTTACGTCACTTCCTCTCTTTGCCAACATTGCGACATTCAATATATTTGAATGACACGGTTAGCGCCCAGTTAGCTCCTAGCATTTCTCAGCAGCTCTGCCTCCTTTTTCACGTGAAGATTCATCAGCCAGATGAAGTGTTTACTGACAATTGACAGTGATAGCGCACATCATCATCACTATTCCAACAATCCTCTCCTCACAGATGAGCATAAACACACTCGACTGTCACTAAATCAAATTTAACACACGTTTGTAATGACGCCAATTCAGTTTACAATAGGGTTTATTCGCTCAGTCAGCAGGTGGCGGTATCCTCGTACACTGGGGAGTAAACTGCCATTAAACGAAGAGAAGAAGACGAAAACCCCTGCACATGCGCGGTACGGATCGGAGAGTCCTGATCCGTAACTATCTTTTTATTTTTAGTTTTTGTCTACATTATATTGAAATGTTTCATTATGGGAAACATTTTAAGAGATACTTATTATTCTTAACATCTTAACAGATACTCTGACCCGTAACTATCGTAAAATGCTTCAACCGGAAGTAGACACCTTTCGCGCATGCGGGGTACCGATCGGGTTTCCAGTATGGATCGGGTAGTGACAGCTAGCTACCCGAGGCTACAGATGTGGAAAACTATTGTTGAGGAGTAGCAGGTGGTTGGTGTACTTTGGTAAACGGTCACTGCTCTGATGCAATAAAAAAATGTGACTGTTAAATGCTGTCCACACTCCTTTCCCTGATCGCCATGGAGTGCTTCAGAAGGGTCGTCGAGGCCCACATAAAGGATTCCATCAATGTCACTGTGGGCTACAGGAAAAACGTTTTTGCAGATTGTTCCTGGCTCAGACTCGGGTGCAAAAAGTCTCAACCTGAGCTTCCTCCTCTACAATTTGGTCCTGGACTTCTTAACCAGCAAAATCCACAACATCTCTTCCTCCTGCATCATCCTCAGCACTGGCTCCTTCCAGATCTCTGTATTAAATCTCACCTTCCAGGTCACCCTGCTGACATATGACGCCAGAGCATCAAAGCTGTCGTACAGTCTTTGTAGATGATGCAACACTTTGCACAATACATTTTTATGTATTTATTTTATCTATTGACTATTTCAGTTTACACTGACATCTGCTGCTCGTCACCACTGATGACTGACTTAGAAGTGACAAGGTTAACATGTGTGTTTGTGTTTCAGGATTTTGACATAGCAGGGCAATACGACGCCATGATCCCAGATGCTGAGTGTCTAAAGATTGTACATGAGATCCTCAACGAGCTGGACCTCGGAGACTTTCGTATTAAGGTTTGTCACTTAGTTGAGCTGAGTGCTGCCGTGGCGAGTGAGTATCTCTAACCACATCTTCTACATGCAGGTGAACGACCGACGCATCCTTGATGGAATGTTTGCGGTGTGTGGCGTTCCAGATGACAAGTTCCGAACCATCTGTTCAACGGTGGATAAACTGGACAAGGTACTGAGGCTTACTGCAGTGAACATCCAACTCTTCTAATCACTATACTCAGTTCTCCTGACCCTCGTACTTATGAGAATGTTGTCAGTTGTCAATATTCAGAAACCAGTATTGTGGAGGTAAAAAGCAATGGCATTTTTATTTGTGACACCTCTGATGTAATCTAACAGCACTGTAAGCGTCTCCTTGGAGAGCTGCTATGTTGATGCCATTTGCACGAAAATGTTATGTGCAGCTGCTCAACAAGAAATAAGAAGTGAGATTAATCAGATGTGACTCTGGATCAGATCCGCCTCAGATGTACCACAGGCTCAGAAGAGTAGGTCCAGATCGGAAATCACTTACAAAACAGGATTGGACTGGATCAGGATGGATGAACCTCAGTGTGTGAAGAGGACTCTCCATTTACATGCACAAACTGGAGTCTATTAGATAGATATGATACAAACCACTGCAGCACAGTACCTGTAATACC